CTAAGGTTTTTAGAAGGGGGTTGTGCTAGATGGGGAACAAAGGGAGAAGAGGATCTAACAGAAGAATATTAGGGCTTCGGTATGGTTGCGGTAAAATTATATACAGGGGTCTCCCTGGTGTTGCAGGAGTAGGAGTCTCAGCTATTGAACAATCACCAGCCACTGTGTCATAGGTTCGATCCCTGGTCACGGAGCTACCTACATGGCACAGCAGACCTCCCCTGTCTCACCCGCTGCTCCCCTCAGCAGTGTATTTCAGTAGATCCACCTATTCTGCTCCCCACTCTATTTCTGGTGAATTCTCTCACCTCCCGCACATCTGGCCTCCACCCCATTCCCCCATTCTTGTATGCATAAATAAATAAAAATAAATCTTAAAATAATATGCAATTGTAGATGTGTAAACTTACTCCTCTAAGCTATACACGGTGATGTAAATCAACATGATCTCAATAAATATCTTAAAAAAAAAAGGATCATCATCACGACCAAATGGTTTTCACTCTAGGGGTGCAAGGATGGCTCAATATATGCAAATCATTTCAGTATACCACCTGGAAAAAATATCAAAAGATGCTGTTTTGATTCAACACATTTATGTCTAAAACTCACTAGCTTAAGAGTATATGGAACACAGCTCAATGTAATAAAGACTGCATGTAACAAAATCACAGCTAACATCATAATTATTATGAAAAATTGAAAGCTTTTCCCTTAACAATCTGAGAGCAGTCTCACCATGACTGCTCATCGAAGTTCAGGAAGCCCTAGTCAGAGCAGCTGGAGAAGAAAAAATATATAAAATGAATGTAAGTTGAAAAATAAGTAAAATGACTTCTGTTTGCAAAAGACATGATAATATACATAGAAAGTCCTAAAGACTCCACACGAAAAAAACAACTAGAAATAATGAGTACAGTAAAGTGGCAGGAAACAAAATGAATATAAATCGGTTGCCTTTCAATATGTTATAGACAAGAAAAGTTAAGGAAATAATCCCACTTACAATTGCATCAAAAAGGATAAAACTCCTAGGAATAAACTAAACAAAGGAGGTGAAAGACCTAAGCACTGAAAACTATAACATATTGTTAAATTAAAGAAGGGCCTCCCCTGGTGGTGCAGGCGGTTGAATGCAGCGCTGTGAAGCTGTCCGCAGCCTCTGCAGCGCGGGTTCTATGGCGGCCAGCCACGGAGCTGCCCCCATGGAGCAGCAGACCTACTCTAGCCCAATGCTCCTCAGCAGTGTATTTTGTCAGTCTGCCTGTTCTGTTCCTGGTTCTGTCTCTGGTGAATCCTCTCACCCTTCAGTGCATCGGCCTGTACCCCAGTTCTTGTATGCATGAATAAAATAAATCTTTAAAAAAAAAAAAGAAGAAACAGGAAATGGAAAGGTATTTCATTTATTCATGAATTGGAAGAATAGACTCTCTTAAAATAGCTATATTACCTAAAGCAATTTACAAATATAACACAATCCCTATCAAAATTCCAATGCACTCTTCAAGGTAATACAACAAATAATTCTAAATCAGAATCACAAGAGACCCTGAATAGGCAAAGCACTTCTGAGAAAAAAGAGAAAAATGGAGGTATCATAATCCTGGACTTCAAAATATTTAACAAAATGAGAGTATTCAGAACAGCTTGGTATTACTACAAAAACAGTTGCCTAGTCCAATGAAATAGAATTTAGAGCCCAGAGCCAACATACATCAAGCCAGTTAAATTATAACAAAGTAGCCAAAATCATACAAGGAAGAAAGGAGAGCCTTTTCACCAAATGATGTTGGGCTACCTGGAGAGTAACATATGAAAAAATGAAACCATGGTATTATTTAACACTATACACAACTAAAATGGTTTAGAGACTTGGATATTAGGCCTGAAAAACATAAAGTACATGGGAGAAAACAGATGATACACTCCAGGACATCAACTGCAGAGTTGGTGATTTAGCTAAGAGGGAAATAAAAACGAAAACAAATGATATTACATCAAACTAAAAAGGGTTTATACAGCAAGAGAACCACTACAAAAACAAAAAGACCAACTACAGAATAGAAGATACTTGTATATTCTATGTCTGAAAAGGGGTTAATATTTCAAAATAGACAAATTCATCATACAACTCAACAAAAGAACAAGCAACCCAATCAAAAAATTGTCAGAAATCTTTTATAGACTTTTGAGAGAAGACATACAGATGACATATAGTCATATCAAAAAAATATTTAACCTTATATAAGGGAGATGCAAGTCAAAATAACAATGAAATATCACCTCACACCTGTGACAATGGTTTACATCAAAAAGACTATATAAAACAAGTGCTAGTGAAGTTTTGAAGCAAAAGTAACCCTTACACTGTTGACAGAAATGTAAATTGGAGCCTTTGTGGAAAATGGAGTGAACTTTCCTTAAAAAGAAATAGAAATACCATGTAATTACCAATACCACTATAAAGTATTGAAGAATATGAAAACACTAATTCAAAAAGATTCATGCATCCATATGTTCATAGCGGCATTATTCACAATAACCAAGACATGGAAACAACCTAAATGTCTATCAGTGGATGAGTGGTTGAAGTAGTTGTGATGTAAGTGTAGTCAATAGAACACTACTCAGCTATTAAACAGGTGAAATTGTGTCTTGTATGACAACATGGGTGCAACCTTAAGTGATTATGCTAAGCGATCAGTCAGAAAGCAAAAGATAATTACTGGATTGTTTGTCTCACATGTGAATTGCAAATAGACAAAATCAACTAACAAAATATAATAAAAATAAGCCTTAGACTATGGAAAATATGGCAGTTACCAGAGGTAAAGGGAAAGGAAAGTGGGAGGAGTGGATAGAGAGAATCAATGTGATAGTGTGAATGGCACTAAAATTTGGGTGTTTGGGTGGTGTTGTCTATTCCTTATAGAGTTGAGAAGCTATTCTCATGAAATATAGTACTGTAAACCAATGGTAATTCAGTAGAATTTTATTTCAAAATAGATCTTTCTGTTCATTTTTTATAAAATAGTACAGATCAGGTCCATTATTTTTCTGTGGTGAATATATTGAATCTGTAATGTTTAGCTTAACCTGGAGAAAATGTTTTATATCCAGAGTTCTATTACTCAAACACAATGTTTCAGCAAGCCTTTATTTTTAGCTATTCTAATTAATATGCAATAAAACCTTCTGTTACCAACACTAATTATTCATGTATATATGTAATTATTTATGCCCATCTTTTAAAAATGAGTTAGACTTAAGAAAATTAGGCAAGAATAAAATAAGTTCAGGATAATGAGAGGAAACCAGAAGTGAGTTTGCGCATAAATTTTAAAAAAGGAAGTGAATTTAAAATCAAAATTAAAAAAATAAATATTACAGGAAGCAGATATAGGAATAACTATGATGTCAATGCCTGAAGGTCTGATGCCTGAAAAATCTTGACAGCGTTAGTCTATGCCAAGAATTAGGCTTTCGTTCTGTGGGCAGTGGATAAGTAACTTGGAGGAATTACAGGCATCACTTAAGTCTAGAATAGATGGTATTGTCTTTTTGTGTGTGTTAGTTGTGGAAAACTTAGTGTTCATTGTGTTAGTTGTGTTAGTTGATGGAAAACTTAGTGTTCACAGCTATGATTAAAAAAAAAAAATTGTTTCCCTCAGAGCAGTATTTTCCTTTCTTACAGACAAGGCATATCCGGTTTATGGTGTTTCCTTAGCTTTTCCTTCATAGCATTTCATTTTCCAAGTCCTTTGAGGAACACTAAGAACTCTGAGTGTCTTCTGTATCCCCCAACCCTTCTAGTTTGTTTTTCTCACAGTCAACATTGCAGGACTGTGAAGCAGATAAAAGTATTGCCCAACTCAGATAAAGTATTTAAAAACAAAAGATACCATGAAATGCAATTAAATAATGCCCCAAAGTCAAAGTAATTTCCCTTTCCTTACTAGCTTCCTGACAAAAATGAGAATCTCCAAGTGCAAAATGTGCTATAATGTACCCACTTACTCAGTTTTTCTTTTAGATTCCAAATAATACCAACATTGGTATTTAGTTTTTAATATAGCATTTGGATTACTGTCATGTTTACATTTTTGTCTCCATCATTTTCTGGTGCCTTCTTTCAGTCTCATTTCAAATCTTCTAATCAACAATTAATTTAAGAAAGCATGTGGATTTCTTAACTTACATATTTTATTGAGTCCTTACATGGCATTTTGGTGACAACTTTGTTGTCATTGCTGGTGGGAGTGCAAACTGGTCCAACCACTATGGAAAGCTGTCTGGAGGTTCCTCGGTCTACTAAAAATGAAGCTACCATATGACCGAGCAATTTCACTCCTAGGGATCTACCCAAAGGACACAAAAACATTGATTCAAAAGAACACCTGTACCACTATATTTATTGCAGCACTGTTTACAATACGTAAAACCTGAAAACAACCCAAATGCTCAAAAATAGATGACTGGATCAAGGAGATGTGGTACATATACATAATGTAATATTACTCTGCAATCAAAAAAGATAAACTCATGCCATTTGCAGCAACATGGATGGAGCAGAAGGAATTATGCTCAGTGAAATAAGCCAGAAGGAAAAAGAAAAGTATCGGATAGTTTCACTTACAGTAGGAATATAGGGGAACCAAATAAGACATCAGTGTAAAAAAACTAATAACAATACAAAACACAACAAAGCAAAAACGGACAATTATAAATCAGAGACATCCTGCAGGGGAGGGGGAGGGAGAGGGATCAGAGGGAGGGAGGGAGGAACCCAGGGCACTGAGGTGTTGGCACAGGTGTGCATTGGTGAAGGAAATTATATGGTGACTATACCTGAGGGGTGTGGGAAGCAAATATTGATTTAAAATGAGCAATAATGTGAAAAATAATTTTTTTTTAATTTTAAAAGAAGAAAAAGGAAATACAACAAATGAAATGAAGTATGAGTGAGAATGAAAGTAATGGGTTTTCCTTTTCCTTTTTAGATGGTAAGGTTGAAGTTACAAAGGAAGGTGTGAAGCTGTGTACTATGGGTCCAGGAAAAGTGTTTGGGGAGTTGGCTATTCTTTACAACTGTACCCGGACTGCAACCGTCAAAAGTAAGGTTGTTTTTATATTTATCAAATACTTCTGGTTAAATCTGTAATTTTTTTATTTTCTCTTTTAAATTTTGCTGTGAAAAACACATGCTGTATTTGTCTTCCTATGAGAGGATGGTTGTTAGCAATCAGTTATACATAACTTGAATTTTACTAATGACTTATAGTATCCTTTTAACCTAGACTTATTATGAAAGGACTTCCAAAATGATATAACTTCATAAATTAGAATTAAACAGAAGCAAGACCTTTATTTTCTGTCTTTAAAGTCTCAGAATCATATTTAAGAAATGTTTGCATATGTGTCTAGTTTTGGTTATCTTGCCCACATAAATCCACTGTTCATTTAGTGCTTTAGAAAAATTAAGATGAGAAATGTCCTTTGTCTCATTCAAACACCATTGAGTGAGAATATCCTGAATTCTAAAACTGTGTCAAAGTATATTCTTGTCTTCAGCTGCTCATCAAGCTGTATTTTATAGCATTTTTCTTTCCTACTGATTAAGCTTATTTTAAATCGGGCCAATAAAGCAGCTTGTTTCCCTAATTTTACATGTATGTATATATATGATTTCTCCAGCAACTTTTATTGCTTTTTAGAAGCAGCTGCAATATTTAGAGGGGGAAATGTTTTTTTTTTTTTTAAAATACTCCTTCCTGACAGCAGGATGTAATAAGTGCTAACAAACAGAGCAGAATGCATAAGTCAACAATGGAAGGTCCATTACAACTTGCGGCAGGTGTATGTATTTCATGTTTGAAAAGGTCTGTTTCTGCATTGGCTTATGGATAATGGCTGTCACATTGACGAGGTTGGGTTTGTTTGGTTTTTTAATGCTATTGGCAAAATGATGCGTGAATGGTTAGTATCAGTTAGTTTTATCTGGATGTCACTGGATGTTTCATATCTTGGTTTTCTTTTTCAGAAGTTTGGCATATGAGTAACAGTGTCATATTAGAACTTAGATTGCAATGAATTCAAGAATACATGGACAATTAGAGTTCCAGAAATTGCTTTAGTTATCTTATTTTAGTGAATCACCATTTTATTCACTGTAATCGCTGTGACATCAATTGAGTTAGGGGCTCTTATAGGATGATTCCTTCTTGGCATTTGATTCTTGATCTCTGAAAGCACAGAACTCTTTTTGATTGACAGGCACTGCCTTGGTTTCATTTTATGTGATCATTTAGTTACATGACTCAAAGAATAATGAATCCAAGTGAACCATAACAGAATCTGCCACAACTTTAACTCACTTCACTTAGGAAGTGCCTTAACTAGAAAAAAAGGTAGTCATGACTCTATTAAATGAAACAGACTTTATTATCATGCTTCATTTACACAAGAAAGTGTTTCTTTAGAGCTTAAAAAAAAGCCAGAATAAAGTATTTTGATTAACAGGTTTTCTCAGAATTATGAACAGTAATGTTTTAATTTTAAAACTTTCTGTAGTTCAAAATATTTGTCTTGTATTTTGCTCATTTAATCTAATTGAAACTATAAAATTTCCTGGAATTAGAAGTAATATTAGTAATCTTTTTGATCTTTTGAAATACAGAATTATTATTAAGTACTTTAAATGGATTTAATAGTGTATTTAGACTTTAAAGCAAAATACTTTCCGTAATATATTTTGCTTTATAAAATCAATTATTTCATTAGTTTTCTGTAAAATGGTATTTGCCTGCACTAGCTTCGTATTTGGTAAATTTAAATAGATACTATGCATCTGATTTAGCAAGAAGACTGGGGATTGGAGGCAAATTACAATCCTATTTGGGGATAGAGCATCTCCATCATTAAAGGAAATAAATGGCAGAGTATGTTCTTTAGCACAGACTGGGAGAAGTCTCAGTGTGTGCTTGTGTGTGTCACTTTATATTGTCTACTTTAAATATGGTGGTTATATTGAGAAAATTACCGGGGGGTGATGGTGTACAATGTATCTGCATTTATAGGTGCAGTGGTTTTGTAAATGTTTATGTAATAATATCAATTAATAAGTGTTCCTTCTAAAAATGTTGTATAAGAACAATTAGTTGTGACTAATTGTACTGTCTCTTGTGCTATCCAGGGAGATCGTACCTATGACTGGCAAAGTCAAATACCATTTTTAATTTATGTTTAAATTATACCCTCAGATTGATCTTTATAATTTTGATTAGATTCCATTATCAATGAAACTGTTATCAAATGACTGCAAAATATAACCCCAATGCTATCTCATTTTTTACATGTGCTGTTTCAAAATGCCCTTTGGATTTTTTTGGATTGGATTATTTATTGGGATTCATGGGTGTGTTGACTCTTTTCCCTTTCTTCTTAACTATCATGTTGCCAGTGATCACTATTTGGAGTGAGATTCAAAATGAATTGGTCCACTTGAGTGTATGAGTCTGTCAGAGTGCCCTTCCTATTCAATAGTTTGTCTAGCCATACATTTTTTTTTCCTTCTTACCTTAGCTTTTGACACTTTTCCTCCAACATCTTCCATATTCTTTGATGATAGAAAATGTTGATGATCATTCTCTCAATTCATTCGTTATAAGTCAACTGGAAAGCTGTCTAGCATTTAATGCATTTTTAATTTCACAGACGTAACTAAATCCTTGGTGACTTTCAAGAGCTTTTCAATGTATGTGAGTAGTTTCTTATTGACAAGAGTACTTTTTGAAATTGTATCAGACCATGAATACATAAATACTAGTTACTTATTTGCTAGTAAATGTGATCCTAACCCCTGTTGCTTGTTTTTTTAATTTAGTGTATCAAAAAGTAGTTTTCTATTAAAGCTATGGTTTGACATGCTATAAAATATAACAAGCTTATTTATAATGTTCCAACTAAAAGAAGTCTCATGGTAATTTTAAGCAAGTCTTTTGCTTTTCATCAGGAAAAAATCAGTTGGCATTCTTCTGAAAATAAATAAGTTCATACAATATTATGATAGTACCAGGAAGAATTCTGATAGTCCACTAGCACCAAGAAGGTTGTTCTTTTCTTTTTATTAAGATAACATTAGTTTACAATACTGAAACATAGACATGTTTCTAGTGTATAGTTTCTCACCTCAGCAACTCTGTATTTCACACGTACCCACCATCAAATATCAAATGTGCAGTCACCGCCTTCCATCAAGCTATTTTTTCCCCATTGGTAACCAATCTTTTCTTGACAGACTTAAGTTTTGTGTATGTGTGTGTGTGTTTGATGGCTTTTGCTTTCCTTTGTATTCCACGAATGAGTGAAATTATATATTTTGTCTTTCCCCTTTGGACTTACTTCACTTCGTATAATTCCTTGAATGTTGATCTATATTGTTAAAAATGGCAACATTTCTTCTTTTTTATGATTGAGTAGTATTCCATTATATATATATATATATATATATATATATACCATACCTTCTTAATTTATCCACTTATTCAATTGGTGGTTGAATTGTTTCCATATTGTAAATAGTGCTGCAATGAACATAGGTATACATACATGTGTTCTAATTAATGTTCTCATGTTCAGGAAGAATCATCTTTAAAAATCAAATCATACGGACATGGAAAGAAAATATCATGGTATGTTGTAGAAAATCTGTATTTATAGTCCTCTCTTAAAAATAGAGCCATTTTTCCCTGAGGAATGAGGATATAAAAATAATAAAATTGACGTTATATTGGAAACAAGATTCTAACAAATATTGCAAGGTTATTCAAGACTTAAATCTGCTCAAGTTTTCTTTATTAACTGTGATAAGAAAACAGCCACTTTGTGTCTATCCAATACCAAGTACTCCAAATGCCATGAGGAGGAAAAAACAATTCTTATATTTGGTTTCCACAGTATTAAACAATGACCATCTCCAATGTTATTTGAATTTCACATTTTGTCTAAATATTTTAAGATTGTGTAAATGAAAGAGAGCTTTAGTATCCGTTTTTAAAACCTCAAAGAGATAGGAATTTCTAGTATGTCCATTGACTCAATTCCCCTACCTGGAAGCATGTTATTATCATGTTTTCCTAAAGTGTCACACCTGGTTGCGATTTCACTTTCACTCCCCTCACGGTGAAAGCAATATCAATTTACACTCATCCTAGGCCTCTTACCTTGCTCTGCCTAAGGTTCTTTAAAATCTCAAAAATGGATAAGTTGCAGTTACTTGAAACTTAAAATTAGAATGGAAAAGACATTTAGTTTACAATAAGAGAATGATTCCATGTCACCGTGTCTATACATTTCCAAGGATATTTATGCTATTATCTTGTTTTACTTGGATTTTTCAGAACCAGTTCTCAAAATTACACAGGAATTTTTTTTAGGGTTTGAATCATATAGCTCTTTACTCCAACTTCAGTTGTACATGAATTGGGATATTTTTGCCTGAAGATTCTAAATTGAAGCTTGTTCCTCTTGCTTTTAGTTTCTAGCTCACAATGCTGAAAACTTTAGGCAATTTATTATTCAGTTTCATTCACAGATTCCAGTAAAAACCCAAGAAGATAGGACTCTGTCTCTTTGTAGGAAAACATCTTGATATCAGGTGATCACAATATGATCACAACAGGAAGCTATCTGCAAAGTATGTCTGTGGTGGCAGTAGAGGCCTTTTTTTAGGAATTGACTTGAGAAAAATATCTGAATGATTATTCATAGATTATTTATAGCAAGCATTTTAAAATTCCTCAGTGTTAAAATATCCAGTACTAATACAGGAACAGTCTAAATATCCTACAAGAAATATGATAAACTGATGATTTTGCTAACATCTGGTGAAATTACTTTTTTGCCTTAGTTTGAATACTTTCTAGTTTTCATGTTGAAGATTTCCGAGGATACGTTAAAGGGAGAATTTGACTATGTAAGGTATCTCACTATGTCAGAGACATTTTAAAAACAGAGTTAAAAGAATTTGCATTTTTCTATTTTTGTTTTTAAAATAAATCTGAGTATATGCAATGAAATGACTTGTACATTTCTTTGTAGCTCTGTTTCAAACATT